TACTAACTGGATTATAATCAGTAAATATATTATCCAAACAAGTAGCTGAATGAGATGTTACTCTAGTAGGCTCAAAAAATTGATGTACCAAATTAAAACATTTGAATAGTGATGTTAGGCGAATTGACATTGAATTATTTTCAAGAATGTTAATATTGAAGTCACCAACTACAATCAAAAACTTATTTTTAGACTTTAACTTTTTTAGAACATTCTCCATCACTGATTCAAAAACACTAATGTTGCCTAGAGGGGGTCTGTATACACATACTATAATAAATTCACTGAATTCAACACAGGATAGCTCAATAATACGTTCTACTGAGAGGCCAACTATGTCCTTCCTATCCCTAGTTCTTATATTTTTATTTACAAAAATTAATGTGCCACCGTGTATAGCTGCAGTACGAACATATGCACTTATCATTTGAAAATTGTTTATGCTAAAAGACACCTCAGAAGACTTAAGCCAGTGTTCAGATAAACAGATAACATGAATATCCTGGCTCTTTGCAAATAGTTCTAATTCTAAATCTTTGCCAGCCAACCCTTGAATATTCTGATAAATAATATTAATTTTGTTGGATTTGGCTGTTGTCGTACCCCTCAGTTTAAATTTGAGTTGGTCACCCTATTTTCTAAATTAATAATTTTATTAGTGCTGACACTAAAACAATCCAGTGGCATAGACTTTGTTATACCATGTATAACTGAGTTTTGTATATTAGATATAGGCAAACGAGCTGGCAGTCCCCCTGATGGTACGTGATCCCTGCCGCCCAAGTGATCACGTACCATCAGGGCCCAAGAGTATCAAGATACTGCAAGTGTTTACACTTGCAGTACCAAAGGTACCACTCATGCGTTGCTGGGTGAACAAGGATACTGGTAGAACCCTTTGTAGGCGAACTACGGACGGATCTAGCTTAAGATAGCAGAGCATGGCGTCATCTTCTGTCGGGGGCCAAGATCCACTTCGATTTTTTTATCAGGTATCTCAAATGCGAGAAAAGAAGGAATAGCTCTACAGGCCATAATTCACAATTTAACTTCCACAAATCCGATTCCTACTTTCACTAATCTTTGGGAAATACTAATGGAATCCTGGATATGTTTTTAAAGAGATTTAACAAAATAGCTGAGAACTGATATGATTTGTGTGAGTTTTCTATTAGAACTGTTGTTGTATTATAACAACTTGTACTATTATGTATTCTGCGTTATATAACTATGTCCATTGTAGTATTTTTTTTAAAGCTTTTAATTGCTATATGTTTAAATCTAAAGATAATTTTGTTAGAAAAAAATCCACGCGGACCAGGCAGCAGACGGGACTCGAACCCCACTCAATTTCACTCAATCAGGGCCGCGGTAGCACGCACAATGGTTAGTGCATTCACCCGGATAGCGAAGGGTGCAGGTTCAAGTTCCGTCTGCTGCCTGGTCCGCGTGGTTTTTTTTCTGACAAGATTTTCTTTATGTCCATTGTTTCAAATTTTAGAATGAAACGGGGGCTAAGAGTTTGTACAGGAATATCGTCATTGTATATCAATATAAAAGGCATATGCCTTATCAAGTAAAAAAAAACCTTAAATAAATCTAGCCATGTCAATATTTACATTTATATATATCTCGCCCTATAAAGAGCTGATTTTCGGAATATAGGTACTTGTTTATTTATCTTTAGGGGGTCTGGAAACGTTTACGAAGTTTTGAACCGTTAAATTCGATAAGTCAAAAGTTTATTTCACATTGTTTCGTTATACAAACTTTAAATCCCCATTTGGGGGCGAAATTTCAATATATCCTTCGTTATTGCTTGTAAACGTCTTTAAGGGTAAATCTTTGTGTAAACTTTCAGCTGTCTTGTTCCAAGGGGGTTAGAAGTTGACAAGCCAGTGAATCAGTCCTTATTTTTTGAACAGGCACTTTTATAAACTTTTAAGGTGAATTGACAAGCACTTTGATTAGGAAAATTCGAAAGGATTAGGAATATTCGAAAGAAATTACTTATAATCTCTTGTTATTGAGAAGCTACTCGTACATAGAAATCATTTAGGTATTGCTTAACATTTTTTTGAGAAAGATTATAGCAAAAGAAAATGTAACTAGAAAAAAATCCACGCGGACCAGGCAGCAGACGGGACTTCCACCCGCACCGCTGCCTTGCAGCTTAAGAATGGCTAGAAGAATTTCGACGCGGTAGCGTAATTGGTCAGTGCATTCGCCCGGATTGCGAAGGGTGCGGGTTCGAGTCCCGTCTGCTGCCTGGCCCCCGTGGATGTTTTTCTAGTTATATTTTCTTTAGATTTAAACATCAAGCAGTTACAGGCTTAAAAATATAAAATTATAAGATTATATCAGTTCCATTTGTATTTCTCCTCTTATTTACGACTAACTTTGTAACTAATTATTTTCCACTATATACTTTACTTACGTTCCCGTTATCACATTGAATATTTTTCGAGTGTTTTCTTTTGGTTATAATATCGGTCCTTGTTCGTGCGTATCGAAAAATATTGAGGTAAGGTAGTCTGCTTTACTTCAAAAAGCATTGGATAGTATCTTGAAATTTAATGCTAACACCAATAGTCACTTACATTTGTGCTTTGAAACGGAACATAGACGGCTATATGCTGGATGCAACTATAGCTTTATTTAGATTTTTTGCTGGATCTCAGGATTATAAGTAATAATAATATTAAATAAATATTATATAAGTGACTTAGACGAAGTAATTCCTTTAAATATAGCTTTATACACTGCTAATATATTTCGACGACCTCCGTGGCCGAGTGGTTTTTACGCCGGATTTCATGGCTGTCGCCGACTCGAGAGGTCCCGGGTTCGAATCCCGGTGGGGGCAGATGTTTGTGTGATGAATACGAGCATTTGTACTCCAGTCATGGATGTTTAATATGTATTTATATAAATATACTTATATATGTACAGTATATGTATTCTATCCGTTACCCTAGCATCCCATAACACAAGCCTTATAGTGCTTACTTTGGGGCTAGGCCAATTGGTGTGAGTGTCGGAAATATTTATTTATTATTTATTTATTTATAGACTCTCTCCAAAATATATTGTGGTGAAGACGAGAAACTACGGAACCCTACACTGCGCGAGGCACGAAACTTGGCCGGTACGTGATCACTGCCGCCCATGGACACTTGCAACACCAAGGATAACCAAACAATGCTTGCTGGGCAAACAAAGATACTGGTAGGACCTTAAACCTTTAAGGTCCGTCTGTACGGAACTAGCTTAAAATCGCAGAGCATGGCGTCATCTTCTGTCGTAGGCCACGATCCACTTTGATTTTTTTCCATGCAGCAGTAAGTAAAGTTCCCTATTATAAAATTAGTGTCCAAGTTTTTTTATCAGGTACCTCAATCCTCTACGCGGAAGAATCCCTAAACGGGGATCCCGCGGTTTCGCACTACGCAGCTTAGAGGGTATTCGCAGGGATTTTTAGCGGATATTATGCCGTAAGGCATAATAATGCCCGTAAGAGTTACGGGGTCCTTAGTGGGCAGCCACTGTGGGGGCTCGTGAGGTTTGCGGAAGCCAGGTGTGAGGTGCGTTCGGCGCGTGCCTCTTAAAGGCACCGTCGTCTGTAAACAGAGTTTTTGCCTGCGTCACAAAAAAAAAGGTACCTCAATCCTCTATGCGAGAAAAGAAGGAATAACTCTACGGATCGTAACTCACAATTTGACTTCCACAAATTCGATTCCAACTTTCACCAAGATTTGGGATTATTAACTGAATCCTGGGCACGTTTTAAAGAGATTTAACAAAATAGCTGAGAGCATGTGATTTGTGTGAGTTTTCTATTAGAACTGTTGTTGTCTTATAACTACTTGGCCATAGGGTACTATGGGTAACAGATAGAATACATATACTTCATATACACAATACCCCAAGAAATACCAACAGTTTTAATACCTTTTATAGTAATAATTGAAACTATTAGAAACTTAATTCGACCAGGAATTTTAACTGTTCGTTTAACAGCTAATATAATTGCAGGACATGGTTGTGTACTGTGTACAAAGCTATTATTTTCTTATTTTTATTATTTGCTGTTATTGTGGCAAAATAAATCTCAGGTTAACTTGTAACAATTATCTACGAACTTAATATTGAACGTATAGAGAATGTATAGATGTTTTCATTTTCTCACGTTAAGCTGGATATGGCAGCTCAAAATAGTGTACTTACACAACTTTCTTGTTTGTTTTTTATTTGGGATAACAACAGCCATCAATTAAGTTTTCTATTTTTGGTTTTACTAGGTCAATAACAGTCACTCACTATTATTTTTATTAATACAAAAAGAAGCAGTTTCGTACCACAAATTTCCAAATTCCAACTTCGTTTTTTTAAATGAAAACTAATACTAAGACAAGCTTTCTTTGGATCTCATTATTAGTTAGTTTTATTTTATTACATCCCCAACTATTCCAAAATGTTAACATTTCAGTGTCCAATAAAATCTTGATAAAGAACATGGCATATTCGGAAACTGGTTGTAGACTATGAGCTAGAATATGTAAATTGTATCAAATTATTTTTTCGCAAAAAAATTATGGTATAAAAATTTATCTTTCTTACTCCCACTTTCGCCGCTCTACCAACCCCACAATGGTAATATGCCTTTTAACTTTTCATAATGAAAAACACTCTTTTGACCGACAATCACTTTTGACAATCAGAATAGATCACACGAACACGTTAGATCATATTAGATATTATACACTAACACACAACTTACATACTCACGTAAGAGGAAAATATCAACAGCATTTCATTGTCATTCTATTCTTCATTAAATACAGCTCGAGTCTGCCAAAGTCCTTATTTAATTTCGCGCCTCTTACATACTTGTAAACGGCGACCCTTGTCTAATACAAGCAAAATATACATATATCCAGCCATAATACAGTCGCTGAAACACAGTACAGAATTCACGCTCTGAAGCTTCAGTGTTAAACCAGGACTCACACTGGAAGCATGTGTTTCGGGCTCTCCCTACAAGTTTTACAAACGCGCGTAATATTGGCACCGTCGTTTGTTTCCATTCTAACTAGTCGATTGATCAAACCTATATAAGTATTTTTTCAGCTGCGGTAAATCTCGAGTCGGTTTTACCAATGTTATTAATAGAAAGTGCGATGTGATTTCTGCATGTCTGTAACTTCAATGCCTGGTAAGTTACGTGTAAAAAACCATTTGAGAGTTGGATTGTGGTGACATGCTGAAGTTGTACATTTTAACAGTTTTTAAATTACTGAAGCTACTGTCAGCGCTTAAGATTACTTCAGGAGTAGTGTATGTGTAGTGACATGAGCAGTAATAAACGTAACGACAAGAACAAATATTTTTCACAGAAATTACGCCTACTGAAAACGGATTAGTATATGTTTCATAGCGCTTTTCTATTTTTATTAGAAATAAAAAGAAGACAATATGAGAAAACATAATTGTGATATTGTAATTCACAACTAAGTACTAAAACCAAGGACATTACTTTTGGAATAACAAATAGAAGCATTCCAGATAACAAATTCCAAATATTGGCGCACATCCATAATAAACCATTAACAAGTAACTCACCTTGTGGTTGTGTTATACTGGAACGAGTAAATGATTTTAAATATCTTGGTTTTATCCTTATCTATACTTTAACATAGTTACCACAAACAAAATTAAAAAAAATCATTCTGACGAAGCAGACCTGAAAAGGCTGCGAAACGTCAATAAATAAATAAAGTTTCATTAACCCGTTAATACTAGTTTTATTTAATGAGTGATGTGCATGAAAACCTAAGAAACAAATAGTTACCACACATACAAAAAGTAACAGTAAGATAATTCAGAGGACGCATCCTGAAAAGGATGCGAAATGTCAATAAATAAATAAATCAATGCATCTATACCGTTGACACTTGTTTTATTTAATGAGTGGTGTACGTGAAAACCTAAGAAATAAATATAACAGAAAGATGTCTTAACTCATTTATGTTTTAAGAAACCTGTATCTTGTTGCTGACACAAAATTAACGAAAACAATTTAATATTCTTTAGCACAATCTTCATATATTATGCTACTGTATTAGAACATGGGGCGGTGCTAGAAAAAAACACGTATAATCTATATTGAAAGAGCCCAGCGTGCAATATTAAAGGTTATGACATTAAAGCCCTGCGGATATCCATCAGCTCAACTTTATACTCATTGTACGGCAATTATTTCTCTTGGAAACAATTCAAGTACAACACCAAAAACTGAATTATAACATAAATTAAATACAAACCCGCAGGAAAGATAAAGTTTAGGCAACAATTCCCAAAAAAGAAATGCAATCTTTGAGCCCTTTCTTATATAATAAAGTCAATAAAATTCTTAATTTGGTTTCACTTAACTCGTATGAATGTAAATCTAAACTGACAAGTTGGCTAAAAAAACAGTGTTACGAGAGTATTGAAAACATGTTCGCAATAAATAAATGAGGTAATTTGGTAAAAATGTATATAATAAAATATGCATTTCTATATAGGTTATATTTTGTATTATCATAAAGTTTTTACTGTATATACATATTTTACGACATCGAATTACAATCATCATATTAGAATTTCACTACACGTAGAGTTTGGTACGAGTATCTAAGATACAGGCTAGGCCTAGTTTAGTTACCATTATAGTTAAAATACACTAATTTTGAGTACGCATTTATTTATAAAAAAATATTTCTTTACAAAAAACTCTCTCACTAAAATAATAGAATAAAAAAATCGTAGTTGAGGTGGTCGAAATTATTTTAGTACTGGATTGTTGTAATAAAAAAAATAATGTTCTACCTACATATCTGATCTACTTACTTGGAGGTGTCCTTGTATTGTTTTTGGTTTCTGTGTATATTTTTATGTCAACAAAGCTTATAATTATTATTATATTATATTCTAAAAATAGATCTTACAAAACATAAAAAATATATTAATCTTATGGCACTGTTATCCATGCATTAATATATAATTTAATGATAAACTCAAAATTTTACTGAGTGTGGGTTATTAACACTCTTACTTTTTCTATACAGAAAATTACCAAATCTTAATAAACCCTAAGCACCACTACAATTATAGCCTTACCACAATCAAGGTAATCATGCGTTCAATACAAGTTAAAAAGAAAATGTCAAACAAAATTTCCCTAAACATGGTTTTTTGTGGTACAACTTTAACTATCTTATTAATAAACAAAGTATAAGCTTGGATTAGTTAGGTACTTCATGTTTTACCTCTGTTCATTGAGTTGCAAATGGCATATGAGTGATAGGAACAAAACACGGCGCAACTAGTCTAAGCTTATTCCTCGTTTATATAATATAAATAACTAAATAAATAAATAATTCTCAGACCTACTGAATATGCATATAAATTTTCACGAATATCGGTCGAGCCGTTTCGGAGGAGTTCAGTTACGCTCCCCGTGACACGAGAATCTCTTATCTATTAGACAAGTCCGTCTGTCTGTGGTGCTGTTTCAGCGGCCAAACCGTAAGAGATAGATAAAGAGAATATTTAAGTTATAAGTTAAGAATAGTCTGATAAGACTACAAACCGGATTTGAGTAACGTAGCACTTCCGGTTTTCGAGAAATCAGGTTTTGGTGAACATTTGGTTCACTGGTTTGCTAGTTTTATATATTAGAGATAACATGGTAGTTTTTAGGTTTCCGTACTCCCATACAACAGACGATACTTTTTTGCCGTTTTTGCTCCACATTAGAATATAGTGTCTAATGTTGTATAGACAATGGCACGGAACCCTTCGAGCGCAAAGCCAACTCGCGCTTGGGTGATTTTACACAGAAATCGGGAAAGTTTAGCTAAAGGACTAAAAGAATTCGAAAGAAATTTTATTCTAAGATCAGTTAGCGAGTTCTGCTTTGGTTATTTACGGTATTAGGAACCAAAGTGAGATCTAACTTTAAACTCAATCTCTTCAGTTTATTCTCGACTAGTTGCCTAATGTAAGAGGCCTCCCTAAGTCTCATTAATCTTATGTTGTGGTGTTTTGTATCTAGTTAATTTCTTCAAAGTTCTTGATGTAATCCAATCCAATTAGCGGTCTTATTTGCCCGCTTAATCTAATGATAATGAAGGCATTCAAAGCGGCGTTTTGACAACATCTCATCATTAATTAAAAACTGATCCACTGTTTATGGATGAAATTAACTATCTATACTAATATTATAAAGATTTGATTGTTTGTTTGTAATGAACAGGCTCCGAAACTACTGGACCGATTTAAAAATTGTTTCACGTTTAGAAACCTACATTATTCCTGATGAACATAGGTTATAGAGTATTTTCAAAAAAGTTAGAATTCTTTATGAAAACATAGAAAACGTAACCTAGGCTGTGAAAAAAATACCATAAAATAATCTTATATCGCTTACGCTGTGGAAGTCATTGACTGTAGAGCAAAGTGATATACTAATGTTTTATAGAGGACATTAATATCTACAAAAAAATTCGCTATACCATATGTCTAACTAATACAGTTATGTCACAACTAAAGGTCCCCTACGGTTTCGCCCGCGTTGATTTGAGGAAAAAGGTTATAGGGAGACAAACTTAAAAGATGGGCATATGCTTTTTTATAGAACTTTTAAAGGGGAACAATTTCGCCATACATGATTATTGTGTAACTTTAATAATTTACGCAGCACACGCAACGGAAGCGCACGCAAACGGAATATTTGTACCCGCTCTTGCAACATTTTAAATCGATAATAGTTTTATATGTATATAGCCTTAAGTCTTCCTCAATAAATGTACTATCTAAAACAAAAAGACTTTTTCGAGTCAGACCATTAGCTGCTGAGATTTGCGCGTTCAACAAAAAAAAATGGTGCATTCGGTACAACGGGTCCTAAACTATAGATAGACGTAAGTATAGTACAATTAAACAAAAATTTTAGTATCAGTTAAATAAATTTTCAAGGGAGGTTCATAATTATATAAAGAAATTCATTGTGTATAATACAAGCCTGAGAACAAAAACTATAGTTAACTATAGATAGACGTAAGTATAGTAAAATGAAAATGAAAAACAACAAAAATTATGTTTAAATCCTACTCAACTAACTCTAGACAATAATGTGTCAAATGCTGGGATAAAAAAGAAAAAATGACTCATTTTCATATATGGCACCCCCCATGAAAAATAATTTATTTGAATGTATTCGGTTTTTCCAAGCATTCTACTCAAAATACCAGAATTTCAGTTCTGCAACTATATAATGAGTAGATTGTATGTCACTGGTCTCTAGATCGTAAACGGCATTCCGTTTACGGTCTAGAGACCAGTGACATACGAACAGACAGGTAGATAGAAAGTCAGACAGGCGTTACAGAGACAGCAGTCGGGTTCCGTTTCTATTTTACCCTTTTGGGAACGGAACCCAAATAAAAACACTTTCGCATTGCCTATCGAAATAAATTTATATAATTACATTATGTCTATATTGAATACAACGATCTATATGAGGAGCAAGGCTTGAATTATTACGTAGAAAATGTTGTTAGGTAATATGATAAACCGAAGAAGATACGACCTAGAATATGGAATTACTCACTAATTAATGTTCATTTTGTACGACATTTCAAGATTTGATGTCATGCGACATTTCAAAATAATATAATTATATCTGAAAAAAATTGATTAAGTGAAAAAAAAACGCGTCAAATACTTTTTAAAAACCTGATTGATGCACAAAAAAGGGGGTCATCATCCCTATTGTGGCCAGAGTCAAAGTTTTAAAGATTTCTTGTAGGGACACGATTGGGAATAAATTTAAAATTCTTAGTGATTCATTGATTGGATTTTTCTGAATATTTCCCAATTTTCCCGGGATTATTAAAAAACCAAGACGCTTTGAAAGTTTAAAAATAATTCCCAAAGTTTTAATGTTTATCGGCAATATTTCCATAAATAAATTTACAATAGATACTCCTGAAAATTGCACGACCTTTATTTTTTAGGATTCCGTACCACAAAAGGAAAAAACGGAACGACCACTGAACTATCATCAAAACCTCTCATTTTAATAATAGGCATTGACTTTCTTAACTCGTTGCCTTTGAGATTTGATTTCGGGGATTTAGCGCTTCGGTCTGATATTACGGATTGTTTGAA